TTTCCTCATCATTCCCATCGATCTGGACCACAGGCTTGCAGTATTTGGCAGCATTAACGCACTGTGGGTAACTCCAAAAAACCCAGTAGAATTGACATCGATCGCGAAGAACTCGATCATTATGGTATGCATAGGAGGTTTCGAAGTCCACAATTATCCCAGGATTCAACGTCCGCACTAGCCTAAACCAACCTGGAAGTTCGTTGTAAGATACATCCCATTCGCCATGAAGTTTGACAATGACATTTTGTTTTGCCAACCAAGCTTTTTTATAGGAGACAGTGTACTCATACTGCGATTGTATAGCTGAAATCAACACTGCAACAACTATATGAGAGCTTGTTTTTACCATGAGCATGATGGCTTGGCATATCATTTCAGAGTCCAAGTTGGGATGATCTTGGTTGACCCCTCCAGCACAACATGTGTGAGGACCGTTGTATACTGTTAGTTCCCATATGTTGTTTTTCCTCTTCATTTTTGATACGCGAACCATCCGATTGCATCCGTTTTCGCGTCTGGCACAGTAATATACATATTTTTTGGTCGTGGATTGGTTGACTCTGGACTGAACAGAATTACGGATATTGTAATTTTTTATAGCCATCACCGCTTCTTTGCTTGAAAACTCCATGCCTAAAGATAACTCACCATTATTTATTAATGAGTAATATCCATAGTCACCGAGATGAGGCATATCCGTAAATTCTGGCCCGTACATTGCACCATAATCAGTTTCATACATGTGTGCATGAGGGTCAGTTTGTGCCACATTTCCTGGAACTTCATCATCATCGGAGTTGAATTGCGGTGATTCTGGGTGAATGAATAGTCCAGTCTCAGCACCATCCGCACCAGGCTCACGAAGCGGTTCTTCTGGTAGAGATGATGGTTCCTCCATGTGCTCCACATTTAGGTCGAAGAACCTACTACTTGCACGCCTTCCCCTTGAACTAGAAGGCATATCGACATTGAGATCGAAAAAGCTCGCAGTCGAATGGCTCCCTCTGGAGCTTAAAGCCATCGTGTTAAATGGAAACTACACAGATGGTTGCGTCGATGGCATCTCTATATGGTCAAAGAAATTTACAGATGAATGTCTTCCCCTTGAATTGGACGCGGTGTTGCCATACGGATTATTTGTGGACCCACCTCGGTACATATCGTAAGGAGTTACGGATGAATGTCTCCCCATTATGACATTAAAATCATTACACATTACTGTAGTCGGGCTGTCAACTTGATCAACTTGTTCAGCCAGCCCATAGTGGGAGCTTAATGATTGACCCCGAACAGCACACACTTAAACAAAATGTGCATACATCTCAATATCGGCGTCTGAATAATTACATTGAGCTTTAACCATCATTTCAACATCATCATTATTCGAAAAGTTCGAACGATGTATAAGTTAATGGAAACAATGATGTTGGAAATCTGTACTACAACGACGACATTCTTCTACTACTTTCAACATGGATCTTCCTCGAAATCTTCGTCATAAGCTCCTCAAGAGTTATGTTTCTCTTGAATGATATTTTAACACGCTCATTTGATACGAAAACAACTCCAGTTTCATCTTCTCGAATTTCACCATCATAATAAACAATAACTGAAAGTAGAGTCATTCTTTGAGTTTAAAAGTGCGGCAATATTATATCTACAAAAAAATAGCTGAAACAAACCTGATTAAATAAATAATATATGAACGAAAATATAACATAATAAAATTTTTACACATCAACGTAAATAATTTAAATAATATAATTTTATATTATTACCTGCACCGCAAAACTTTTTCGACATATGCTCCCGCTTTTCCAATTTTACAAACACAAAAATTAATTGAAAATAATTAGTATAATATTTTTTCAAATAATCATAATAAAATATAAGTAAAATAAAAAAATTATAAAAAAAATACCTTATATTTCGACATATGCTCCCGCTTTCCAATTTTACAAACACAAAAATTAATTGAAAATAATTAGTATAATATTTTTTCAAATAATCATAATAAAATATAAGTAAAATAAAAAAATTATAAAAAAAATACCTTATAACGAAAAATCGCACGAACTTCTAAATCAAATATGCGAAAATTGTTAGAATTATTAACTTCTTGACGAAATTTTTGTATTAATTTATAAGTTGAGAGGAGAGATGTGAGGAGATGTGATGAACTTAACTGGGGAGAAGGGTATTTATAGCCGAGAAAAGTTGCTATAATTATACAAGGCGCGGTACCTGCACCGCGTCTTATATAATTATATCAGTTAAAGGTATGGCGCGACCCTTGCCCCGCGTTATACCCCTACGTGGCGTAAGGCGCGCCCTAGGGGCCGTGCTATACCCACGTGTATTTCATGTCAGCATATAGAGCGGTGCAGGGGGCGCGCCTTACCCCACGTGACGTCAAATCAACATATAACACGGTGCAAGAGGCATGCTTTACTATAAAGAGTTTTAGATCTAAAAATATAATCTAATCGTTATTAAATTAATAAATATAACGATCACCGTAAATGAATGTCATTTAATATAAAAAAAAACCTTGCTAATATGTTGGTAGGGAGAGTCGGAGAGAACCTCGGACATCGAGAAGTGACGTGGGTTTATATATTGTCCCAAAAAAGAGAGAAAAATATTAATAGAAAAAAAAAGAAAGAAAAACAAAGGATTGTCTGATGGATTCTGGAACGCTCTATTGACCTATTACTTCAGGGCTTACTTCCTTCCACCACATCCAAAAATATATTTAGAATCTCCCTCTCTCCACGCGCCTATTTTAACCCCGATATTGTCCTTATAATTAAAAAACATTATCAATTATTTATATCAATAACACATATAATATACTTGGGATAATTCTAAAGACCATTCACAAGTTCTTGCACATCGTATAATAAGCTACTGTATAAAATGTGCTTCATATGATTATGTGTAAGGTAAGTGCTCACTTTTTGTAACAATTTATACTTAGAGGAGGGGAAAGATAATTTTGCTCCTAATGGTATTGCATCCAATTGCTTTATAGGTTGTAATGCCATAAAAGTATTAATTTAGAAACTTAGAGCAAGGTAAGTATGCTCCGTATATTGATTTATTATAAATTATGCAAGATATTACGAATCAATATTGAAATTGTTCGAAATATGATTAGATGTATATTAATGTGAATATATTGCTATGTTTTCTATTTATACCCAAAAGTAAAATTGTTAAGTATCAACTAATTCAATAAGAATATTTGATATAAGTTTTAATGATATGAATGTATGACAATGAAATAATGTTTAGTATGTTTACATATATGATATAAAAGTGTATGTAATCTATAGTAATGATTGATTTATATTTGAAATTAAAAGTATGCTCGTTTTGTTAATTCGACTATATGAATATACTTAATTTTCATATGTATCTACGTATTTCATGTATATATTATGCATATATTACATTTTTTAAAATATATTTAAATATATTTAAATATTTACTTTTTAATAATTTATAGTTGATCGTTTTATAATTGTTGCAACCGTCTTTCGGTTGGGTTCCGGAATTGGGCTTCGACTTAGGAAAATGAGGATTGGAGTCGCCACCGACCACTTTAAAACGAATTTAGGTGGGTCGGACACCATTTTACCTGATTTGCGTTGTACCAGAAACGTGTCGAGTTCGGGAGTCGGTTACGGTCAAGGAAGGATTAGTACCCTTGAACCGCCCTTTCGGTACCACATAATTTTCAGTTGTCTTAAATTAAGAAAATTGTAATTTTAAATAAAAAGGTAAAATTTGATCATGATTACTTACCTTAGATTGATTTGAAAATATCCTCTTTTATTTCTTTGTTGAAAATTATAAGTGAATCTTTGGGGCTTATTGCATATTTGCTTTGAGTATTTTTTTGTGTGCGTAATCTCGTATGATAATCGTATCCCCTGGTGTGGTAATTATAAGGCTTATTTATAGTACTAAAAAACCTATTTTAGACTAGTATTTGAGTACTAATCAAACTCTATTTTAGACTAGTATTTAAGTCCTAATCCAACTCTTCTTTTTTGGTTACATGAAGACTCCTCGGTTGGCAGGACAAAACCTGGTGTCTTCAATAATGTAGGATATATTTTTTTAATAATATTTTAAATATATTTGATTTATTTTTTATTTTAACATTTTTTAATATTTGAATATTTTTATATTTTAATTTAAAACCAAATTATTTAAAAAATAATTAAGTCCTCAAACCTTTAAAAGAATCAATTAGACTATTTAACTCAACAAAAAAAATCATTCAAGTTCATACATCATATAATCGTTAACCATGAATTATTATATAACATCACGAATCATCATATTTACGTCGTGAACTACCTTATCAATATCGTAAATATCAACATTCAAGTTATTTAATAAAAAATTAATAAAAATCACATTAAATATAACAAGTTAATAAAAAATCACATTTTTTTCTGAAAGAAAATTAAGAACACGAATATCATAAACCTTGTATATTTAGCTTGTAATTTATATATATTTTTATATTGTCCGAAATTTTTAATAGAGAGTCAAGACAGTCAACAAAGCATTATGCTTTTAAACTAAATTAAGACTCGACTCGTCCTGAGTAGATCTGAGAATTAATTATTTAATCAATACCTGAACGTTGAAGTTAATTACATTAACTTAACATAGAATGTTGTAAAAGTCGGGGGCCCACCATATCCACTCTGGCAGAAACCATTCTTAGGTTGGTGGGTCTGGATTCTCACGCGCTTCATACTAAACATGGACACCAGATTGAAACAGTGTCAGTCGAGACAGTATAAGTCACTCACTGCCATTACTTTGCTTTTCCGTCGCCTAATCTCTCCCTCTGCAAGGAGTATAACTCTGCTTTGTTGCACGCTCTTCTGCATTTGTCTTGGTTGTCATTTCCCTGTCTCTTTCATTTTTCATTGCTTTTTTATCTTCTCTTTTGCAAGGGGAAACGAATTACGCACTGCTGAAGCTTTAGCCATGAATGGTGCGGTGACTACCGGCAAGGAGAAGCTGGTGGTGGAGGTGATAGCGGCTCATAACTTGATGCCCAAAGACGGTGAAGGGTCATCTTCGCCTTTTGTGGAGGTTGAGTTTGAGAGCCAAAGGCGTCGGACTCAAGTCAAAAGGAAAGACTTGAACCCCATTTGGAATGAGAAGCTTGTGTTTCATATCAACGACGTTGCTGATCTTCCTTACAGGGCTGTTGAGGTTAATGTTTTCAACGAGAGGAGGTCGAGTAACAGCAGGAATTTTCTCGGGAAAGTGAGGGTTTCTGGTTCCAGTATTGCTAAAGAAGGCGAAGAAGGTCCCCAAATGTATACCCTTGATAAAAGAAGCTTGTTTTCTCACATAAGAGGAGAAATAACCTTAAAGCTTTACGTTTCAAAGAGGGAGGAAGTTAAAGAGGCGGGGATTGATAACAATGGGATGATGTTTTCCAGTTCGGCTCCTGTTTCCTCATCGGGGTTTTCAAAGAAGAAGAATGTTCACCAACAGAACCCAGCTTTGGTGGTGCAACAACAACAGCTGGTCCAAGATAACAAGCCAACAATGCAGGGTCAAAACCATGCAAAACCTGTAGAGCCAAACCCAGGTGAGTTAAAGCCTGTTGTGATAACTACTGGGTCCTGGTCCCGCAGTCCCCGTCGCTGCCTCAGGAGGCGGCGTTGTTGGTGGTGGTGCCGGTGCTGGGTTGAATCTTTTCTCAAATGGGTCTAATGAGTTTTCACTAAAGGAGACTAGACCCCACCTTGGTGGTGGTCCTTTGAACAAGGACAAAACTAGTTCAACATATGACCTTGTTGAACAAATGCAGTATCTTTACGTTAGAGTAGTGAAAGCTAGAGGTGTTTCTTTCTTCGGTGGTGGTGGTGAGATTGTGGCTGAAGTCAAGCTAGGGAACTATAGAGGTGTCACCAAGAGGGTCAGTTTAAACCATGCTGATTGGGACCAAGTTTTCGCCTTTTCTAAAGATTGTATACAGTCATCAACGGTGGAAGTTGTTGTTAAAGAAGGTAACAACGATGATTATTTGGGTCGAGTTTGGTTCGATTTAAATGAAGTCCCCAGGAGGGTTCCTCCGGATAGTCCTTTGGCACCGCAATGGTACCGAATGGAAGACAAGAAAGGAGATAAGTCCAAAGGGGAAGTCATGGTTTCCATATGGTTTGGGACTCAGGCTGATGAGGCCTTTGCTGAGGCTTGGCACTCAAAGGCAGCAAATGTTCATTTTGATGGGCTTTGCTCTATTAAGTCCAAGGTTTATTTGTCACCAAAGCTTTGGTATTTGAGGGTATCAGTGATTGAAGCACAAGATGTTTTGGGTGAAAAGGGGTCAACTTTATTGAGGTACCCTGAGCTCTCAGCTAAAGTCCAGGTGGGGAATCAAGTCTCAAGGACTAGAATTTCAAGTGTTAGTCCCAACAGAAGCTTATCCAATCCGTTTTGGAATGAAGATTTCTTGTTTGTAGTTGCAGAGCCATTTGAGGATTACCTGTTGCTGACTGTTGAGGATCGAGTTGGCCCTGGGCGGGACGAGGTTGTAGGCAGAGTATTGCTTCCCGTGGCTGCTGTCGAAAGAAGAACCGATGACAGACAAGTGGTTTCTAGGTGGTTTAATCTTGATAACCATTTTGGCAGCACCACTGAGGCTAAGCTTGTGATGGGATTTGGTTCGAGAATTCATCTTCGGGTCTCACTTGACGGAGGATACCATGTTCTGGATGAGGCCACTATGTATAGCAGTGATGTTAGGCCAACTTCAAAACAGCTATGGAAGCCTCACATTGGTGTACTCGAAATGGGGATCTTGGGTGCAACAGGACTTATGCCAGTGAAAATCAAGGAAGGAAAAGGTGGCACCGCTGATGCTTATTGTGTTGCCAAGTACGGTCAGAAATGGGTAAGGACCCGAACTGTGGTTGATAGCTTGTCCCCGAAATGGAATGAGCAATACACTTGGGAAGTTTTCGATCCTTGCACGGTTATTACCATTGGTGTGTTTGACAACTGTCGCACTGATAAAAACATCATTACTAACGGTGTTCCTCGTGACTCTCGGATTGGGAAGGTTAGAATCCGGCTATCAACGCTTGAGTCCGATCGAGTTTATACTCATTCATATCCACTCCTCATGCTGCATACATCTGGTGTCAAGAAAATGGGTGAGCTTCATTTAGCTGTGCGTTTTTCTTGTGCTAACATGGGAAACATGCTGCATATGTATACGTTACCTTTGCTACCAAAGATGCATTATATACAACCTTTGAGTGTGAATCGAATGGAGAGCCTAAGGTACCAAGCTATGAATGTGGTGTCATCCCGGCTAAGCAGAGCGGAGCCACCGTTGGGGCGTGAGGTTGTTGAGTACATGCTTGATCATGACTCCCATATGTGGAGCATGAGAAGGAGCAAAGCTAACTTTTTCAGACTAATGAGTGTGATCTCTGGTCTGGTTGTCATGAGCCGGTGGTTAGAGTCTATGCGAAATTGGACCAAGCCAGTGTACTCATCCTTGTTTGTTGCAGCCTTTCTCTTATTAGTTTCACTACCCGAGCTCATCATCCCCGCATCCCTGCTTTACATGGCCACCATGGGACTATGGCGATACAGGTTCCGACCTCGTCATCCGCCCCACATGGACACTCGACTGTCCCATGCCGAGAGTGTTTATCCAGATGAACTTGACGAGGAATTCGATTCATTCCCGACTGGCCGAAGCGCAGATGTGGTCAAAATGCGGTACGATAGGCTACGGAGTGTGGCAGGAAGGATTCAAACGGTGGTGGGAGACATGGCAACACAAGGGGAAAGGTTCCAAGCATTGCTGAGCTGGAGAGATCCAAGGGCCACATTCTTGTTTGTGATAATCTGCTTGTTTGCAGCCGTGGGATTCTATGCAGTGCCATTCAAGGTGATGGTGGCATTATGGGGAATGTATGCGTTGAGGCCCCCAAGATTCCGAAGCAAGTTGCCATCTCGGGCATTGAGTTTCTTCAGGAGGTTGCCTACAAAAGCAGATAGTTTGCTGTAAGAAAGTAAAAGCATAGTGGGGATGAAATATTTTGAACTATAGTTTTAGGATTTTAAGGTCCCTTGGGTATTGGACATTAGGATTTAGTGATGTCTTTTTAAGGATGTGTTTTTATTTTGTCCTCAAGACTCATCCCATATGATGTTTTTATGCTTTATATTCCATTGTTTTTGTGTTGCATACATTAGTTCCAAATACATTTAAAGAAACAAAATGGACTGCTAAACCATTGATTTGATTCTTCTGCTGTGGCACAGTCATTTGGATTCCATCGCCACTACTAACATACATTGACATTCCAACCTCTGACATCTTTTTTCACTTCCCTGCAAAGTACAACAGCATTTGAAATATGCATTATATTTTTGGATAATCTATACATTTAATCACCCAATTATTATTTTGATTTTGTTTTGGTTGCTTAATTGTGTATTTTTCAAAATCTTAACTAATATTACGTTTTGATTTCATTTTTATCATTATCGTTAAAAAATTATTTAATATCTTCACTAACCTTATTAAAAAATGTAACGTGGTAAATAAATAATTTAATATTGTTTTTCCTAAAAATGAAGTAATATAAATAAATTACAAAAAGTTTTTTTTGGATTTTTATTTGAAAATTAAAAATATATAAAAATTGATAATTATCAAATATATTTGTGAATAATTAAGATACACAAATATTTTTTTTATTTATACATTTTAGATTTTCTTTAATAAATTTTCAAGATTTTATTATTTTCTATATTTTGCGAACTTGAAAAAAGTATATGAAAGTACTAATAATAATAAACTTTGTGAAATAATAATAATATTAGTTGTTAAGGTGAAAGCTAACAAAAATAATAATAATTTGAGAAGTAAAAGTTTCAATCTCGGAGCCTTTGCGTTTTCACCTTTCAAAACCATCATCCATATCGTCACATATTTATGGTCTTTTTTCTAATAAAGGGTATAGCACAAGGGTCTTAATCTTGTGATCGTGAGATCGAGTTTCACTGAGGTCAATTCATAACGGAGGTCTTTCACAGAAGCTGTTCTCAACCTGACGTTGGGGGCAGCCTACTACCCCACCTCTCCCTTATCCCACCCATTACATATTGGAATAGGATCATCTAAATTTTTCTAATAAAGGGTACCTGATGCTTTTGAACTTTCGGTATAAATTTTTTTATTGGTCTTCTTTTTGGTATGGAATTCTACATGATTTCTTGATTGGTTGTTTTTTTCGATATGCGGTTTCTTCGTTTGTTTTTATATGACGTTTCTTTGGTTGTCGGATATCTGTGCTAGGTGGAATTGCAGTTAAGGAAAGATCAATTTTTCATTCGTCCGTTTTAAATATACTTTAGATTTTTCTTTTATATATTTAGTGTTCGAAGACATTGGAATGATCCATTTTTGTATATCATTGTTTCGAACTGTTGAGGGTATAACTAGTGTTTTTTTTTAAACCACTTCAGGGAACTGATGACTGTTTGTTTAGGGATCTTCATGGCCTTTCTATATTAGACATTAGTCTTTTGTAATGGCTTTTAGCCCCTCTCACTAAAAAAAAATGGGTAAAAAATCAATAGCTAAATTACAGTTCAAAGCCAAATTTAGGGGCAAAAAGGTACATTAAACCAATAAAAACATTGAAGCGGAGGACGGGTTTACCTTTCACAAGAAAAAAATGGAGGCAGTGATATTGCGATGAGAATTATCATCCACAGGCAAACAAACACCACCGATTCCCATATAAATTGATTTGATTCGTTGCAAATCTGAATCAAACAGAGCTTTAATAGACGTTTTGTCCATTTTTTCCCCTCTCAACTTAAAAAAAATCATCTTCTAAAAATAACCTTTTGTTTTCATAAATGGCTACAGTAGGCCAAGTTATCACTTGCAAAGGTACATGCTTTTTATCTCGTATTCGTTTTCCGATGATACATTTGCTAGTTGTTTTGAAACCCTAATGGTTATATCGTGGATGCGGTTTGTTATTGTGAAGCTGCGGTGGCTTATGAACCCAACAAGCCGCTGGTCATCGAGGATGTCCAGGTGGCTCCGCCGCAAGCCGGAGAAGTTCGGATCAAGGTTCTCTTCACTGCTCTCTGCCGCACTGATGCCTACACTTGGAGCGGAAAGGTTTTTCCTCTTCTTTTTTTTTAATTGCATTTTCTGATTTCTATGTATAAGTAGTTTATTCCCAACAATTTAAAGAAAAACGATTGCATTATTAATTTTCTAATCTATATTAGGAAGATTCAATGCTAAATTGTAGTATTTTGCTGACCCTGTAACTCTATTCTTCCTTTTGAATAAGAAAGATGTCTATAATGTTATGCTATGTTCATTTCACTTTTTTTTTTTGAAATGTGAGATTGGAGTGTTTCAATTGATGTGAATATATATATATATATATATATATATATCTTCCCCTATCAGTGTCAGTGATAATTCTTAATCTAATCAAATTCAATTTTTTTTAACTCTTTTTGCTATTGCCAATTCCACCGCTTAGTTCTGATGTTTAACATGCTCTGTTTCCCTTGTAAGGACCCTGAGGGCCTATTCCCATGCATTCTTGGTCATGAGGCTGCGGGGTAGGTTGTTCTTTCTTTCTTTCTCATTGCTTATAGTTTATGACCTTTTTGATTGTTGTAGAGGGAGGTTTGTTTGAAATTTTCACCACAGGATTGTAGAAAGCGTCGGTGAAGATGTAACTGAAGTTCAATCAGGTGATCATGTTATCCCTTGTTATCAGGCAGAGTGTAGAGAATGCAAGTTTTACAAATCAGGGAAGACAAACTTATGGGGAAAAGTCAGGATGGCCACTGGGGCTGGAGTCATGATGAATGATCGCAAGAGCCGTTTCTCGATAAATGGAAAGCCAATCTTCCATTTCATGGGTACCTCAACTTTTAGCCAGTACACCGTCGTACATGATGTTAGTGTTGCAAAGATTGATCCACAAGCTCCCTTGGAAAAAGTATGCCTTCTTGGATGTGGTGTTCCAACTGGTAGGGTTTGTTAACTTTCTCATTGTTTGAGGAATTTGGAATTCCATATGTGATTATCTAGGCGGATATCAATTCCAGTTTTTATTTGACAATATATATGTTCGGTTTTATAAACGTGAGCCGCACATTTTGCAAAAAACTTTCATATTTATATTGATACTTTGTGTTGCTAGGACTTGGAGCAGTGTGGAACACAGCCAAAGTTGAACCAGGGGCTATTGTTGCTATATTTGGCCTTGGGACTGTTTGTCTTGCGGTATGTGTCAAATAGTCATCTCATAATTTATATAGACTGTTTATTATGAGTTTCCGGGCATCTTTTGGCTGTCTGTTCAAGATGTTTGTTATTGCTACCGTTGTTTTATTTGTGGTGTCAGATGTTGAATTGTTTATTTACCAATTCTTTTTATCACAATGTTGCAGGTTGCCGAGGGTGCAAAATCAGCTGGTGCCTTGAGAATTATTGGCGTAGATATTGACAGCAAAAAGTTTGATCTAGGTAAGAAATTTACAAATAATAATGCTCAAAGTATTTGATGAATATTAATGAGATATTCAGTAAACATTCTTGAATGAGAATTGTGAAATCAATTATGCAATTTGCTAGAAAGTGGTAGGTTAATGTCTTGTTTACCTTTTTTTGTAATAAGTAACGTTTTACTGATATTTCTGCATGCTTATATCTATGATTTTGTAATCACAGTTTTGAGTGCATTGGAAATGTCTCCGTCATGAGGGCTGCTTTAGAATGCTGTCACAAGGTAATTACTGTGCTTTAAATAACAGAACAGTAATGCATATGTAAACTGTTGAGCACTTCTAATGGAACCTGAAAAACTTTCAGGGCTGGGGAACATCAGTCATCATCGGCGTTGCAGCATCAGGTCAGGAGATATCTACTCGTCCTTTCCAATTGGTGACTGGTCGTGTTTGGAAAGGGACTGCTTTTGGTGGTTTCAAGAGCCGTTCCCAAGTGCCTTGGCTTGTGGACAAGTACATGAAGAAGGTAAACATAGGCTGTATGCATTTTATATTTAAATCTGTTGTAAAAGCAGTTTCTTTTTATCAAACTCCTCTTCCTATTGCAGGAAATCAAAATCGATGAGTATATTACCCACAGTTTGACCATTGGAGAGATTAACAAGGCATTTGATCTGATGCATGAAGGGGGTTGCCTCCGATGTGTGCTGAAGATGCACGTTTGAGGCCATGTGTGAACCGAAGGGGTGACCTGTGAAGAACTTTCATGCTTGTCCATTATCTGGAATAGGTATGTGCCCTATTGCCATTTTATTTACAACTAGAAACTAGAATGTGTTGGAAAAAACTGCTTCTAAAGCCTAGTATTTCGACCTCTTGGAAATGTTTGCTTTATCATGTTAAAAGAGAAACTACGACGATGGAGGTTTATGCATGAATAATATCATTTGCATTATGGCGTTGATCAGTAACTTTAATTTCCTTCTTTTATTGTTTCCTTGGTTATGTTTTGATTTGATTCATCGCTGTTCATCTTTTGTTTTGAATTATACCCGAAAGCAGATTTCCCCGACCATGAGAGCCAACCCCATCTCTTTCTTTTCTTTTGGTTTAAATGCATCACTTGCATGGAATTATTCATGTTACACATGTTTCAGTCAAATTTACACAGAAACTTATTCCTGAAAACATATTCATTTATCCATAGAAAATTCACTCTTGTCGGCCCTGCTTGCATCTTTTATTGGCAGCCACCAGGTTGTTTTTCATTTTAGACGTCATTTGAACCTGCTTTTGCTCTTTCCTTGGCAACAAGTTCACTGCCACCAAAATTTCCAACGTAGCAAACAAGATTAGCAAGCAAGAAAAATAGCTTTACGTAAATTAGGGTCGGAGAAACAGACCGGAGAAAGCGAGCGAGTGTTGAAGCTTCAATGAGATGTCCATGTTCCCGGGCTTTCAAGATATTGAACATGAGAGCCATCTTGATTTGAGTCCTGGCTGTTTGTTTCATCAACATTTCTGTTTCGGCTCTCAGTCGGTCGCCTTGTCTTTCCATCTCTGCAAACTTGGCTCTTATTTTCCTTTGCTCCTCTCTCAAGCATTCGCCATTTTCCTTTTCCTTTTCCTTTTCGATCTTCTCTTTCACTTGTTTCGTTCGCTGCTTCATCTTTCTTGGCGCCATGAAAGTATCAGAAAGATTTGAAATATTTATACACACCCACGCAGTGTCGAGTGATATCGCGCGATTGAAGCAAGTTGAAGTGAAATATGGTATCGAGTGCGTGCAAAGCTCAGAAAGACGGACGATTTACAAACCGTGGGCTTTATAAGTGCAGCGGCCCCTAGTATATTATCCATGTTGCTTGATTTTTTATATTTAAAAATATAATAAAATCATATAATAAAATATTAAAAATCACTTTATTATTTCAATTAATGAGATCAATAGAAATTAATAATCAACAATAAGAATTTATTAATTTATAATTGAATATTAAAAATATAATTTAAATAATTTATTAATGTATGCATACATTTTAACTAATTTTTAAAATGATCTTGTTATAATTCACTTCAAGTTTTTGAATTCAAATATGCAATAATTAATTTCATCGACACCATTATTTTTAATACTATCAGAATCAATTTCATCAAGCATTGAAATAGACCCTCAATCAAAGACGTACAGTAAGAGAATTGGTTTTGGCATCAAGCCTAAAAACCGTACTTTTCAATGCAATTTCTGGGTTCAACTAGACATTAATTTGATCGGTGAAATTATAATTAGCGTAAAGTATATAAATGGTCACTGAACTTTTCAGATGCTTGCATTTAGGTCCCCTAGCTTTTAAAACTTACAATACAGTCACCAAACGTTTAGTTCGTTTGCAATATGGTCCCTGACGTAATGGTCATTTCACTACCGTTAGGGTAAATTTTATAAATGGTCACTGAACTTTTCAGGCACTTGTATTTAGGTCCCCCAACTTTTAAAACTTGCAACACAATCATCAATTACATTCTAAACCCCAAATTCCAAAATGCTTCAATTACATTCTAAACCTCAAATTCCAAAAATACTTCAATTACATGCCCAACCTCAAATTCATAATCCATTCTCAAAATCTTCCATAACAAATTGAACTTGAAGCAACAACCCTAAACCCTCAAAACATAACCCTAAATGATAAACTTTCTCAACTTAAAATCGAGTTAAAAAATTTCAAGTTAAAATCGAATTGTAAAATACAACTCGAATATCTCAAAATTTTTAGTAATTAGTGGATTAATTTTTAAGTTTGAGTCAAGTCCCTTGACTCTGTATGATATATGTATATCACATATGAAAAAAATATAAAGAAATATATGTATTGTATATGGTTAAAAAACTATTTAAATTAGAATCAAATAATATTATAGTATTATAAATATTTATAATTAAATTAAAACAGAAACTCAAAAATTCAATTCAATTCGACTTGATTTAAATTTTATAAACTCAAATCGAAAAAATTTCGAGTCAACTATTTTATAAACTGAAATGAATTAGAATCAAATAATATTATAATATGATAAATATTTATAATTAAATTTAAACATAAACTCGAAAATTTAATTCAATTCGACTTGATTTAAATTTTATAAACTCAAATCGAAAAGATTTTGAGTCAACTATTTTATAAACTGAATTGAGTATTTAGGTCCAACATAACCCTAAATCCAACATAATCATTTATTGTTCACTTATAATCAGTTAATTTTTTTTTGAAATGATTATGTTTTGAGGGTTTAGGGTTGTTACTTCAAGTTCAGTTTGTTGTGGTAGATTTTGAGAATGGATTATGAATTTTGGGGTTGGCATATAATTGGAGTATTTTAGAATTTGAGGTTTAGAATGTAATTGAAGTATTTTGGATTTTGGGGTTTAGAATGTAATTGACGAATGTGTTGTAAGTTTTAAAAGTTGAGAGACCTAAATGCAAGCACCTGAAAAGTTCAGTGACCATTTATATAATTTACCCTAATGGCAGTGAAACGACCATTACGTCGGGGACCATATTGCAAACGAACTAAATTTTTGGTGATTGTATTGTAAGTTTTAAAAGTTGATAGACCAAAATGCAAGCATCTGAAAAGTTTAGTGACCATTTATATACTTTACCCTTATAATTATAAAAGAGCCGTATATATTTTTTATAATTTGATATATTAAGTTGGGTTCATCTCAAGCTCCTGTATGGTACCTATTCGAGTTTAGTTTGACCCAATTTTATTTATAATATAAATTTTAAATTTTATTTAAATTTACTTCACCACTCATAGTGCTAGTTGCCTAGTTCAAGGTCTTGTTTTACAGTTATTTATATACGTCTGATAACTGTAAAACATTTGATAACTATAAACATCTGGTATCTGAAAATCATCTGATAACTATAAATATTTTATAACTGAAAATCATATGATAACTGTAAATATCATATTTGGGCAGTTCATACCCAAAATCATTCATAAAGCTTGATGAAAAAAATATTATAGAAATATTTCATAATGAAAATTTATAAATCATACTGGAAAATAAAATGAGGTTGACTTATCGCAAGTCGTCCTCAATCAGAGTAATTAAATAAATAAACTAGACTCATTTGAACAATTTACTTATAAATAAAATATAAACCTCACTAAGCTTTAAAAATTGCCTCCACTACACAATTTATTAAAATTTCATATTCTGGCAGTTTGCACTACCTTCAAAAAAATATTATTTTGTATTAATATATATATTGAAAAATTATTCCATTTGCACCATTGAAAACTAGACTCAAATAAAAATTTAATCATATAAGACACTTTGTCTAGTTCCACTTGTACAATTTATAGCAAATTTTCGAAGTTGACTGACAGAAGTTGCTTTGGACAGAATCTGTTATCCTGTTTTCTTACCTATCATTGATTAAAAATTTATATCTTTTTGTCTACTTCTCGAAATCAATTTACGTTTGTTCGAAATGAAACTAAATTGATAGAATAATCCAATGGTATGCTATTCATCCTCTAATCATTTTTGTAGAATTTTTGATGATTTTCTAAACTTAGTGTTTAAAACATAATTTCTAGACATATTTTACAAATTAGTGTCCTAGACTTGTTCACTAGTTCTATTAGCTTACTAAATAAACATATAAACTTGAATCACACTTCACATAATACTAAGAGTCACTTCTTAACGTAACTTTGATACTAGTTCATCGTAAGCCGATGTTTGGTTGAAACATATATACAAATGAAATGTACTCACCTTTGCCTCGCTATCAAATATTCTCCACGATAATTTTCTCGACCCTAGACTTTTTCCTTCCCTTTCAAGCTACTTGAATCACTAAATTTACCGTGGGTTGACGACGTCATATAATAACATAGATAGTCAAACTATTCGTTAGTATCGAACTAACATAGTCTAAACTTAAATATAAAATTTGATAAAAATAAATCTGATACTTAAAATGATATAAAATTAAATCGTACTTCTATCGTAATTTCAAACTTCTCAAAATATTCCTTAAATTCCATGAATATTTCGTTTCACTATAAACTCTTCAACTTTTACTAATTTCATAATCTAACCACTTATTATGATTTTTTTTAGAATTCGTATCAACATTCCTATTTAATCCATAATGACCCTTCACCATTATGATCATTTCACATTAATCACATAAAATTTCCAGCACCTCAATAAAATATTCAAATCAACACTTAAACATTCAAAAGCTTGCAATTTCATCATAAACTTTCTTAGAGTTTTCAAATTCAACCACACATCTAAATAAACTTAGAATTAAATCTCAACGTTAGAATTAAACCCAAAAATCAGAATATTAAATAAATTTCCAGCATTACAATAATTTACTCAAATGATACTTCCACATTTAATAAACTTAAAATCAAGTCCCCATAATATTTAGACTTTTCGAATTCTACCCTCAAATTTTATCAAAATTGAAATTTGGTTCCAAACAACTTTCCAACATTTTCAACTATAAAAAATCAGCATTAACCCTTCAAATATTACATTCTTGCAATAATATCCCACAATTCTCAAAACTTGTATATTAACCCTTTTACTAACTCAAGGCTCCAAATTGATCTCCAAGTCACATATAACACTTCTAATATCAATTCTAGACCATAGGAAAATTTTCAATATTTTACTATTTTTCCCCAATTGTCGAATGTCACTATGATCATAAGACTAGTTTTTCATTCAATTCCAAGCATGAATTCAACTTCCTTACTTCAAATTCATACTACTCTAATCAACACAACATCTAATTGAACTAAAATCCAACCAAGCACCAAAACCCTAATTAGGCCAAATGCTTTAAATCATTCTACATTGGATTTTAAACATCATACATGCTTGAAAATTAATCTCCAACATAAAAAACATAATAATCTTTCATTAATTCTTCAAACTCCAAAAACCTTACATAAACCCTAACCTTCAATCTCAACATATAAGCATCTTCACTATGAAATATTGGTACCAAATGATAGGGAATTGCATGTAGATTAATTCTCTAATTCATAACTTAGTCAAAAAATCAATCATGTAAGCTTAAAAATAAAAAATAAAATGTTTACCTTGGAAAAATGGTGGTTTCGGCCAACCTTGAAGAAGGAGCTGATTTTGTGCTAATTTTCTTGATTAATTTAGTATTTATTAACCTTGACACATGGCACTTTAATAATATAATTGAATTTAAAATTCAATTAATGAGAAATCTCAAAAATACCATTAATGAAACTTGATAATTACCAAATGCCATTGCATTATCTTAAATTAAAATATTCCTTAGTCAAAAATGAATCAACTTGACTTTGAATTTTCACTTTGTCCATGTATTTCCAACCATTTTCTAACATCCTTCAATTTTTCACAAAATTCCAGTTCGATTTAATTTCAATATCGAACTTTATCGCTTTTAACACAAATTCCGTACCGAAAATCTGATTCCCACAAAAACCTTGTTTTTGGCCAAACGGTTGATTTACGGGCTAAAATCTATAACTTTTCAAAATTATATTTTTGGTCCCTGACTTTTACAAAGTTTATACTTTATCCCTTAAACTTTCAAAACTTACACTTTAGTCACTATTCAAATTTTAGGGTATTACATCTTCTCTAAGGGATGTGTAGACTCGATGATGGGAATTCAAAGTGTATTAGAATGCTTTTATACTTGGTCGGGTTTAAGGCTTAATCTAGCCAAGTGTGTGGTTTATACTTTAGGGGTCCTTGTTGAGGTTCTTGATAGGATTGTGGGGAGTTTGGGGTTTAAGAAAGGGTGCCTCCCGGTTTAGTACCTTGGGGTTCCCCTTGTTACAAGGAAGCTCTCGGAGAAAGATTGCCAAAGACTGATCGAGAATGTGAAGGTTAGATTGGAGCATTGGGCTAATAGAAGACTCAATTTTGCTGGTAGGCTTCAATTAATCCGAATGGTGTTGTTTAGCATTGCTAACTTTTGGTGTTGACAATTCCTCCTCCCAAAAGTTATGGTGAATCGGGTTAATAAGCTTTGCATGCGATTCTTTTAGAAAGAAAAAGACAGAGCATGTATGGGGGCCAGTGTTGGATGGAATCATATTTGCACCCTTAAGTTAGAAGGTGGCTTAGGGTTGAAGGAACTAACTTGCTGGAATAATGCATGCTTTATTCAGTTGCTGAGGAAGTTGCTTGGTGCTAGGGGATCTTTGTGGGTTGATTGGGTTAGAACCTATGTTGTGAAGGATGATTGTGTGGAGTTTCCAGCCTTGAGGGGAGGTTAGTTGGAGCTTAAGGAAAATATTTTCCTTTAGGGGAGGCTGCTACTATTTTTAGTAATTTGGATAATTGCTTGGACGATTGTGATATGAGGCGGATTTAGGCTGAGCTCAGGGTCAAGGGAGCAAAGATCTCATGGCATCGATTGATTTGGTTCTCGATGCACGTTCCGAGACATGATATCAGTGTGGATGGCGCTACTTGACAAGCTGCCTACTCGTGATAGACTCCTCCATACGAGGATGAATGTGGTTGGGGTCTCGTGCTCATGTGTTCTTTGGCTTCCCTTTTCGGGTTTTGTTTGGGAGACTATTTTGACTATGTGTGGTGTCCATCGTCGAACGCTTGCCTGGTGGGAGTACGAGGTGGTATGGATGTGTTCTCATGTGCGAGGTAAGTCTGGCTCAACCACTCTTTTTAGGCTTTTTTGGAATGTTTTCATTTACTTTGTGTGGGTTGAAAGGAATATAAGATGTTTTGGAAATGTTATATTGACTGGTGACTGTATAGTGCATTCCATTAGGGAGGTTGTGCAAGCTAAATTTTATGGATAAATTAGGGATAGATTGAGCTCCCAACTGTGTATTGATTGGGGCGTGGTGAGATCAGTGCCTTGGTTTTTGTTAGGTATTCTTGAGATTGTAATATTCTTTGCTTTGGATAGAATATACACATTTTATCCACACACAAAATATTAAACGAGTTTAATGGTAAAATGAAAGTTTTTTTTTTCTTTTACTAAATTTGAACAATTGCAGTTAATGGCTAATAAAAATTGTAAACATAATAATATTTTATAATAAAAGACTCCCTTAGAAAAAGAAGTAAGCTTTTTTTCATTCGACAAAAAGAAAATATTATTGGCCACAAAAGATTTTTTAGACATCAAGTAGCAAACCCTTAACAAAACAAACGAAGCACCTCAAGGTGAAGTGCAGCAACAAAGATACGAAAAAAAACCAGACCATGCTAATTGACTTCATCACTCCCACATCAAACTTCAACCTTCAAGTTCTTCGTTTACATATATACCAAAACACTTGTATCACAAAATCCACCTGCATTTTTCATTTTTTACCGTCCTTCGAACTTGCTCTTTCCTTGGCCACAATTTCTCTGTCGTAGAAAACAAGGTTATCGGTTTCAGTTAACCACATTTACATGGGAAACGGAAATATATATATATAGTAGTAGTTTATAAAGGGAAGTGGGCTTAGAGAAACGAACCGAAGAAACATAGTGAGCTCAGCGGCTTCAATCAAGTCTCCACCTTCCCGAGCTTTCAAGATATTGAACATCAAAGCTATCTTCATCTGAGTCCTGGCTGTTTGTCTGATCATCATTTCAGTTTCTTCTTTCAGTCGATCGCATTGTCTTTCCATCTCTCCAAATTTCACTCTTGTTTCCCTTTGCTCCTCTCTCAAGCATTCGCCTTTTTCTTTTCTCTTCCCCATCTTTGGTTTCACTCGTTGGAACTGCACCCTCACTTTCATATCCTTCTCCTGTGCTGAAACCACCTGCAACTTCATCTTTCTTGGCGCCATGAAATGATTAAAACAGGTTTGGAAAGATAGGGTCGTTGATGATCACTGAAGTTCCATAATCTCCATTTAAATAACAAAACGAACCGCGTTATGGAAGAATCGGAGAAACGAGAATGACATAGTTTTAAGCGAGCATTGCAATGATTCGAAGTCATTGGGTTTCGAAGATAAATGAAAATGCTCAGAAGCTTTTGGGAAGGATCAGAGAAGCCGAATGCAATGACCAGATCAATATATATATATATAAAGAGAGTCGGGGAGAAGCTGATGAGAGACATTGGTGGTATGATCGGGGGGACTGGTATGGAAATCGCACGATCGTCGAACTGTTAACGCGCGATTGAAGATAGAGTTGACGTGAAATTTAAAAGGGTAAACTACGTGCTTAATACCTAAACTATTACTTTTTTCCTTTTTGGTACTCAGACTTTATTTTATTTTAAAACCATATCTAATGTTTAATTTAGGTTTCATTTTGATACACTGTTGTTAAAAACTTAATAGTAATGTTGACATGTTATCAAAAGATAATATCACATCACTATTGAAAAAAATAAAAAATATCACTTCAACAATTATGTTATTTTTTTAGACATAATGCAACAAAATAACCCTAACGTCATGTCAAATTTACTTGTATTGTTTTTTTGGAACATTTGATCATCGAACATTTATTTTTGGATTAAAAATAACCCACGCTGGATGAAAACCGTCAGTCAACTGACGGTCAACGCCGAGTGCTGACGTAGCTCGTACGCATAAAGGAGAAAGTTGATGTGGATATCCACGTCATCGAGATCGCTGACGTGGCACTACCACATCATTTTTTAAAATTTATTATTTATATTTTTATATTATTAATTCGAGCCCATCAGAGAGTAAAAATGATGAAATGCATGAAAGGGATTTGAACATGGGTCTCTTAAGTGTATTGCTTCTCATTTTGCCACCGCTAAGTTATTTGCTTAAGTAATAGATGAAACAAATTATATTTAATAAGATTCTTCCATCTGAATTTCATCAAAAAAACAAAACACGTGTTGTTATTCATAAACTAGGTTTTTCCTCAACCTTCTTTGTTAGATGTATCCCGATTCTTTCCTCGACCTTAGTTTTCCTTTTACCTCGATTATTCCCCAAATATTAGGGTTTATATCCCTAATTTAACGAATCGGTTCTCCTTTGATTCTATCTCCATCAAAATTAAACGAAGCATTTCATCTCGAATCGATTACACGGTTGAGTGGTAGGGACGGTGAGTTTATTTTTATTTTTTAAAAATTGATTGATTATTTTATTTAGTTAGGATAAATGTTGATCTTTTAATGAGTTTGTGGGGTTTTTTTTTCGAATTCTTTGTTAGATGTATGGGTTTAGTGTTGGGTTATTCATAAGCCTACAATTTTATTCGATTGTATGTGTTGTAATAGATTTTGAATTGGGTTTAGGGATTGATTTTTCTGTGAAGGTTTATGTTGGGATTTTAGAAACGAATTTTCAAAAAACAAATCAAACCCTAAACCCTAACAAAAATATCAAACCCTAAACCCAATTTAAAATATATTACAACACACACAATCAAATAAAGTTGTAGGCTTATGAACAACCCAACCCTAAATTCATACATCTAACAAAGAATTCGAAAAAAAACTCACAAACCCATTAAAATATCGACATTTATCCTAACTAAATAAAATAATCAAACAGTTTTTTAAAAAAATAAAATAATCAGAGAAGCCGAATGCAATGACCAGATCAATATATATATATATATATATATATATAAAAGAGACTTGGGGAGAAGCTGATGAGAGACATTGGTGGTATGATCGGGAGGGGAACTGGTATGGAAATCGCGCGATCGTCGAAGTGTTAACGCGCGATTGAATATAGAGTTGACGTGAAATTTAAAACGGTAAACTACGTGCTTAATACCTAAACTATTACTTTTTTCCTTTTTGGTACTTAATCTTTATTTTGTTTTAAAACCATACATAATGTTTAGTTTAGGTTTCATTTTGGTACAATGTTGTTAAAAACTTAATAGTAATGTTGACATGTCATCAGAAGATAATATCACATCACAATTGAAAAAATAAAAAATATCACTTCCACAATTCCGTTATTTTTTTAACGATGATAGTAGTTCTTACAAGCAATCTTCGGAAATACACATTTCATTACGTTTTACTTGAATTTATTTATTTTCTACATTGTTTGATTTTAATCGTAGTATACGATATAAATATAATTTTGAAATAAAGAAATATTTTTATTTAATAATTTTTAATATTCCAAACTAGTGAAGAATTTTTGTGGAGCATGTTTCACATAATGAATCAGATTTTATGTTCCACGGTATTGGACTTAAAACTATTGTCGTACATACATAGTCGATCGTCTCTTTTCTATTTTGTGTACGTTTTTATTAATGTTTATTAAGCAGCTGTTGATAGGGTCATGATGGATAGTGTCACCTGTAAAAATTTAAATTATTACATTTTTAAATATTTTATATTAATAATATTTTATTGCTTCTATAATTTATAAATTTATATTCTTTTAAAATTTTAAAAATTTAATTTCTTAATATAAAATTTTGCGTCTTCCATATTATTATTACCCTCAAATAAGTATTTTGCGTCTGTACATGTTATTACTACCGTCAGATAAGGTACTAAAGAAGTACACGATGACATGTTAGGAGTTGGTATTGGTTTGATTGTTTTATTTTCTCCTCTTTCCACTACAAAAACCATGCTGCAAGAATTGAATATCAACGTGTTTAAGGTCTTAAGTTACTTATAATAAAAACTTTAATTTATACAGATATTAGTAAATATATTTTTCTATTAATTTATAATATAAATGAATATGTTCTTTATTTTTCTAATTATTGCTCTTGAATAGCCAATATATATTATAGACATAATGTCAAAAAAATATCTCTAATGTTTGATAAAATAATAGTTTTAGTCAGTATTTTTTTGGAACAAATTTAGCCCAACGTTTCATTTTGAGGTAAAACGACCTCCCGATTAGATGAAAATCATTAGTTAACTAACAGTTAACACTTATCATTAACGTGACAACTCCTATGTGTCCAAAGCGATGATGTGGCACATGACATATGTATATAAGTGTTGATGTGGTATATGTCACGTGTTCAAAGAGATGATGTGACACACACCATGTGTACATAAGTGATGACATAGAACATGCATTGTGTACATAAATGATGTCATATGTTTAAAATGATGACATAACATAAAATGAATGTACATAAATGATTACATGATATATACCATATCATTACTTTTGAGGTATAAAACTTATCACATCAATAATAAATATTAATCATTAATTAATTAACAATTTTCATCAAATGAGAGATGAATTTCGAGATAAATAAATAAGGTAATGCATGAGATAAGTAAACTCCAGTAAAATTTTGACATTACGCCATTATTATATGATATAAGTTTATATTAAAATTTCTTGACCCCAGATACGAGTCCAATAGCCCAATTATGCCGGCCTTTCACAGTAACTCTCTTGTCCTTGGGAACGTTGGCATTGGATTTTGTATCGACCACGTGACGTTCGTTAAGTAACGTCCAGTGGATGATACTTACTTTTATTTTATTCATTAAAAAAAGGATCTTTGCTTCTGTATATTCTCAACCAGTTGGCTCTTTAGAGTCTGTTTGTTTCACTGAAAATATTTTTCGAAAAATGAAATTTGGAAAATATATTACAGAAATGTAAATCATTTTCCAGAAAATATTTTTCAGTGTTTGGATGGTACATTGTAAAATGTTTTACCTGTTTGAGTAATTTTCTTGAAAATTATTTTCAGAATTTATTTTTAATAAAGAAGCTATACATATTAAATATGTTTTATTATTTATTATTTTTTAAAGGTTCATTTTTTATATATAATTATATTTTATAAAATATGTATTTTAGATAATATTAATAATTGATTAAAAATATATTATAAAAGTTGATCAAAATATGTATTTTCAAAAAACTATGCTTTGTTTTTTTAGTCAAGAAAGTTGCTAATTTATTATTGCATACGTCTTTAGTTTTACTATTGTCTTTGAACTACCTCTGAAATTAATGCAGTAACAATACAAAGTAAAGAAAATTAGCATTGGATTTCATAAATAAATCAATGTGAAATTAATGCACAATCTAAGGCAAAACTTTAAAGGCTCTCCTCAAGTAACTAAAGGAACATAACAAGTATTCTCATCATTTGTGCATCTAACCATACAACAAAATTATGTTCCAAGGTATATATGCTACTATTCCTTTAGTCAAAGCCTAAGCTCACAATCCTAAGAAGCCAAGCTCAATGGCCTTCTCCTTCTCGAAGGTCTCAAAATATTGATAAATGATTGTGACCGCAAGAAGTATGTCGGTTCCTGATCCAATTGCTCCCATAAGGTCTTCCAGAACTGTGAGTGCATAGATGCACATGCCTCCGAACGCAGCAGCTGTGGGAATGCAACGGTTCAGCTCTTTCTGTAAGCTTTCCTCGCGATGGCCAGGGATAACCATTTGTTGTTCCTGCGAAATAGCAAACAAAAAATGATTCATCAAACGCTAAACGAAGAGTAATGGTGCCTCAACTGATGAACTACATGCATAGCATACTCATCTTCTTAGTACCTAGTGTACTCAATCATCCCAGGCGGTTAGTGGGACTAAAGGAGATTAGTGGGGATTCTTGGAGAAAAGTTGCATACCCAATCACCTACAGCAAATAGGCTCATTAGAACATGATTCTGAAGATCTCTCTTTTTCCTCAAAGCATAAACATCGAGACATGCAAGACCAAAGCTCCATAGCAGTTGATGCCCCATAGATGCAACCAAATAGCTGAAACAAAGAACATACAAAACATCAAAGATGCATCAAATAAAAATTATTCTAGTGTATTTCTACTCTATTTTAACCATCCTTTACACCCTATGGTCCCCATCAAGCCTAAACATTCCCCCCCTTCCCAGGAATATAGAACTATAAGATTCCACAGGAGATAAACTTAAATGCCATCTCACATCTAGTCAAAACAGCAGCTTTCAACATTTTCACAATAGAAACCCACACTTTGTGAGACTTCAAAAATGAACTAGAACAAGTTCCAACAGTATTGCACATTTGAGACCTCAGTCATGAATAACAGAAGACACAAAGAGAATACATACTCTAGACAACTATGTACTCAAGTTCATTCAAACCTATACTATACCTCAGTCTTGAGTGTCATTGGCTCGAATGAATGGATGTGTCAGACTATCACTATAAGCAGAAACAAATCTTAAAACAAAGTGATTGCACCATGCATATTAGCAGAAAAGTTACACATAAATCAATTCTTTTTTCCTACTGTGCTGTTAACCCCAACAAAATTACTCAGTTCAAAACAAAATTTTATATTACAATAAAAAAGCACGCTTCAAACAACCAATTTTTGAATATTTCCCTAGACACCATAGTGACAATATTATCAACGTGTAGATGATTCCTTCTGCTTAACCAAGTAAGTTACAACCAATTTGCACAACTTCATATTCAACTTAAAATACAGTGTCAGAAGAATTGATAGGCTTTAAAATCACAGCTTCTAATACATCATCCAATAGTCATTACAAATTGAAGTCAATAAATTCTCATTCATTTCCATTTTATAATACAAAAACACAATTTAGAAATGAAACCCCCTTCAAACTAGGGCCCAAAATTGATCTAAACTTGAAATACTGAAAAGGGTACTCTTTTTACCCGATAAATTCAAACCAGTAAACCCGGAGTAGCAAAATTCAGTTGCATGCTTCATATAACTGTTAGTAATTTGAACGAATTTGCACCAACAAGCTGATTAACAAATTATGTCCCCCAGCCGACTAAGTAATCTGATTCAAACACGTCATTTTAACTAAAATTTAGTTAATAATTAGACCTCAAAATGCTGATATAATGGCAACAAATCAAAGAAAATTAAAATTTCCATATACACCTAAATAGGGGGAGCACAAATCAGAAAAGGTAAATTTGAGATCAAACCGAACGAAGGGAAAAAGAAAAACATAAGTACCAGAAAGCAATGTAGGAAGAGAAATCAGAGGCAGAGACCATGACCTTCCCGTACTTGTTGAAGAGTGGAAACAAATCATCAGCAGTAGTGCCTAAACGGATTCAAAATCAAACCAAATCGAAGGTTTCTGATTTCTGTCGAGCCGGTGAAAATGAAAATGGAGGTCAAGGAAGATGAAACAAGAATTAAAAGGAGGTTAAGGAAGATGAAAAGGGAGATACCTGAGAAGACGATCGTCCGCCTCTCCGGTCTTTATACATACATCTCTAATCATTTTTCCCTTTTGTCTTGCTTTTTTGTTTTGCTTTAGTTTGGAAAATAGTTTTAAATTTCTAAGGGTCTATGGAGATTTACGTTTGAATGTAAATGTATGTCACTAAAACTGCGGTGTAGATGCTTGTCTTTCTTTTTTACATGGAATGATGTGATTTTTCTTAGTTGTTCTTGTTTATTTGTGGTCATTTATATGCAGCCTGGATACCTTCGTAACTTGTTACCGAATTCTGCACCTAATCAACCAGACTCGTTTCAGCATGTTCTTGATGGTGAAGTTGCTCAATTGATTATCGAATTTATTAAATTACCTAATAAAAATATAGAAAAGGGTAATGATAAAAAGGATGAGTCATTGAGTGCATCACCATCCGATTTGGGATGTATTCCCCTAAATAAATACTCTAGTTATTGCATTGTATTCTTTTTCATGAATAAATATTCTTCTGATTGCAGACATTCAGGCAAAGATATTGCCAGGGGTTACTCACTGGCAGAGCCCAAATTATTTTGCATACTATCCTTCCAATAGCAGCGTTGCTGGATTTTTGGGAGAAATGCTTAGTGCTGGTATCAATATTGTTGGTTTCAGTTGGATTACATCTCCTGCTGCAACTGAGCTCGAAATGATTGTTTTGGATTGGCTTGCTAAGATGCTTAAGCTACCTGAAGATTTCCTTTCAGCAGGCAAGGAATTGGGATTTTTTTTTATTTAAAAAATTCTGATATAGAATGCAGTTTTGGGTCGAGGCATTTTCGTTGAATTCTTTCTAGCACCACAAGAATGAAAGTGTAAAATATCTCTAAAGTTTATGGAATGAGATCGGTAACTGTGTCGCAGGACAAGGTGGCGGAGTGATTCAGGGCACGGCAAGTGAAGATGTTCTAGTTGTATTATTGGCTGCCCGTGACAATGTTTTGAGGAGGGCTGGAAAAGATGCACTTGAAAAGCTTGTAGTTTATGCATCCGATCAAACACATTCTGCCTTGCAAAAAGCCTGCCAGGTATCGATGTGAATTAGAGTCCATCTCTAGTTTTATTTCTTTACTCCTTTATGTGAGATTAATGAGATTATGATGATGTTCAAATGGTGTACGATTACTTGATCTATGTATATTATTTAGCCACTGTAGTAAATGCTCATGTTATCTGTTTGAGCTAATCGAATTACATATTTAGCATTTAATTGCAGATAGCAGGAATCCATCCTGAGAATTGTAGGCTGCTAAAGGCAAACTCTTCTACCAACTATGAACTTTCACCAGAGTTGCTGAGTGAAACAATTTCACATGACCTTACCATTGGCTTGATTCCATTCTTTTTATGTGCCACTGTAAGAAGCAAAATGACATCTTTTGCTTTATAATATATACTTGTCCTTTTCACTTGTCCAGAATAACAATTTGATGGAGACATTATGAGATTATTATCTTTGTAGGATATATCCTTTACGTTATCGAACATAGAAGCCTATTAGGACAGTGTAATATCTGTAAAGTTTATGATCCATATTAATAACTCAGCGTTTGATTCATTCCTTGTTTTTCATATATATGGTTCAAAATTTTGATCACTGAATATTTTTATTTTTAGGTTGGCACAACTTCTTCAACTGCAGTTGATCCTTTGCTTTCAATAGGAAAGATTGCAAAGGTAATGTAAAATTTGAGGAGGAAACTTGCTCTGGAATCTAGACCAATATGAAAGTTACATTTGATTGGTTGATGCATAAATTTTAAGTAACTTCATATATCATTTAACTTTTAGGCATGAAATTCTGTCAATAGCGATAAGATGGAAATATCAAGCCACCTATGTGGACCTGAACATGGAGTACAAGCATTTAAAATTTACGAAAATGGTTAAATATGTAATTCATTTACAGAGATTGTATAAAACCCCCACACAAGACTTGTCGGACATAGGTGTCGAACATGGATGCTTTAGAAAAAATGAAGAACCCGAGTACATAGAACTAGATTATCTTCATGAAGTTTTTATTATATGATACATGTCATTATGTGGTACATTTGGAAGCACTACAATTTAACTCTTCTTGTGTGCTTTGCCTCTGGACAGAGTAATGGAATGTGGTTCCATGTCGATGCTGCATATGCTGGAAGTGCTTGTGTATGCCCGGAATTCCGTCATTACATGGATGGTGTTGAAGAGGCTGATTCATTCAACATGAATGCACATAAGTGGTTTCTAACTAATTTTGATTGTTCAGCACTTTGGGTAAAGGTATGCCATCTCTTTTGTTTGCATATAGCAACAAAAGTAAAATTTCTGTTCATTACCCTTTGCATTTTGCCTGCATATTGGTTGACAATCTGATTTATGTACATTATCATTTTGGTAATTTCTTTTTAAGTTTCACTAAGATAAATTACTGCAAAGTTTGCTTTCAATTCGTGTAACTACTGACATGAATCTGTATGTGCTGTTTATATATCTAACCCAAGGCCTGCTTGCTTCAGTTGGCTAGTTTCAAACTTGTCTGATGTGCGTGGTTTGTGACTTGTTCGACTTTTCTGCGCTTCACTTAGTAATATATTATATTATACTGGTTTTGGATGATTGGGATGCTTCATTGACCAAGAAAATAGCAGAGGTGTATATACGTATGAACTAGCAAAACTGTCTCATCAATATGTCATAATTGTTGCGGAATACGGCTATCGGATAGACCAAATTCACTACTGATAATTTGAGAAAATAAAAATGAAGATAAAGAAGACACAAATTTTACATGGAAAACCCCTAAATAATATAGAGTAAAAACCACGGGCAACGGTAGAAGAATTTTACTATGAGAAAATAGGAATTACAACTTCTCTCGATCTAACAAGGATAAAACAATAACAATTCTCTCTTGATAAAAAGGAGAAAAACAACTCTCAAGAAAACTCTCTAAATTCTCTAGTATTAGGAGAAAGCTATAATGATTTGGGATGGTTTTGAAGCTAAATGGATTAGGGTATTTATAGTTGAAGCTTAAGGACTAATATTATAAATACCCTAAAGTATAGGGACTAATTCAACAATTTTACCATTTATGTTTTTCAACAATTGCTGCACCGAATTTTGACAATTTTTTTCGGTGCTTTCGGTGCAACAACTTGCAGCACCGAAAACCAATTTTCAATAATCTCCCACTTGAAGATTTGATTGGAACAATCATATCTTCACACCATTCTTTCTACCTTGTACCATCATGTTGTTTACGTCTCTGACAGGCCACAAGTGAATCGACACCAGGTAAATTTATCAGCATTGATTGCCTTTGTCATGAAATCTGCTATGTTGTCTTTGGTATGGATTTTCTGCATATCTACCGTCTCTTCTTTCACATTTTCATGAATGAAATAATACTGAACACGTATGTGCTTTGTCCTTGAATGAAATATTGGATTCCTTGCTAAATGCAAGGCTCTTTGACTGTCACAAAACAGAGAGACATACTCTTGATTGTGCCCAAACTCTTCCAATAGCATCTTCAACCAAATTGCTTCTTTATTGGCTTGTGTAGCTGCTACATATTCTGCCTCTTTTGTGGACGTAGCCACAATTGACTGCAATTTTAAAACCCAACTTACAACTCCACTAGCAACTTTGAACACATATCATGTAGTAGATTTGCTTTTATCCAAATCCCCTGCATATTCAGAATCAACATACTCATTGATAAGTAAATTTAATTCTCCATAACATAATACAACATTTGAGGTCTCCTTTATGTATCTCAAGATCCTTTTTACTGTATTACAATGCTCTTTGCCTGGATTCGCCATGTACCGACTAACCACTCCCACTGCTTGTGCAATGTCTGTCTTGTGCATATCATAGCGAACATTAAACTTTCCACTGTCGATGCATTCGGTACTCGATACATCTCCATCCTCTCTTTTTCACTGCTAGGACTCATATTGGAAGATAATTTGAAGTTAATAGGAAGAGGGGTAGAAATTGGCTTACAATCTTGCATGTTAAATCCTGACAATATATTCTTCAAGTAATTCTTTTGTAAAAGCCAAATCTTCCTATTACTTATGTCTCGGTGAATTTGCATCCCTAGAATCTTGTTTGCTGATCAAAAGTCCTTTATTTCAAATTCCCTAGCCAGTTGTGCCTTCAATTCTTCAATATGATTTTTGTTGGGTCCTGCAACCAACATGTCATCCACATACAACAACAATGCCCAAGGGTCTGCATTAAGTCTGTTGTATTCAAGGCAGATAATGAAGGAATCAAATCTTTTATACCAACATCTTGGCGTCTGCTTTAGACCGTACAAAGATTTGTTCAACCTGCAAACCAAGTTCTTCTTTTCTTTTTTTTCAAAACCTTCAAGCTGGAGCATGTAAATCTCTTTTTCAAGATTTCAATGAAGAAAAGCTGTTTTAAAATGTAGCTGCTCTAGATGTAAGTTCAATGTAGCACACATTGCCAAGATTACTCGAACTGTTGTTAATCGAACCACAAGAGAAAAAATTTCATTGAAATCAATACATTCTTTTTTAGCATATCCTTTGATCACCAGTCTTGCACGATACCTCTCAACTTGATCGTCACCATTTCGCTTGATTTTGAATACTCATTTGTTACCAATTGGCTTCCTTCATTGTGGTAGTGGCACAAGGTACCATGTATTATTTTTATGAAAGCTTCAATTTCTTCTTGCATCGCCATCATCCACAGTGAAGCATCTGAGTTGTTTATTACCTCCTGGTATGTTGATGGCTCACCGTCCTCTGTTAAAAGACAGTATGCAATATTTCCTTCTATAACATAATCTGAGTGCCAATTGGGACGTCTTTTCACACGATCTGATTGACGAGTTGTTGGAGCTTCAGAACTCTCTGGTTCTTGTTCATCATGTGTTGGTTCTGCTTCATAAGAATCTCCTTGTTCAAACTCCTTTTCCACATGTATCTGTATAGTCTCTGATTTTTCAGCGCTATCATTGTCCTCTTTTCTTTGTAATTTATCTTCTACAAAGATAACATCCATGCTGATGATCACTTTGCGGGAAGTAGAATCCCACAAGCGATACCCCTTTACACCATCAGCATACCCCAAGAATTTGCATTTCTTTGATTTTTTTATCCCATATCTCCTTAGTTGTATTCTTCTCCTCAATGCTTGACAATACTTCATCTCCTCAATGCTTGACAATACTTCATCTCCTCAAGATGACCTTCATCTTCAATTTCCACAATGAGAAATTTCTCCCATTGAACTTTTCAATATCAAATTTCGTTGTCATAGCTTCTATTACGGATAACTCCCACTATTTTACTATTGTGAATAGTTCTCTGGAACATTTAAAGAATGGGTAATACCTTCTTACTTTCTTATGTTGGAGGATCCACCTTTTGGTGGCAACCACAAAGATAATAAGTAGATATTACACACTCTAATCTAGCTCTTGATACCAATTGTTGCGGAATACGGCTATCGGATAGAGCAAAATTGCAACTGATAATTTGAGAAAATAAAGATAAAGAATACACAAATTTTACGTGGAAAACCCCTAAATAATATAAGATAAAAACTACGGGCAACAGTAGAAGAATTTCACTATGAGAAAATAAGAATTACAACTTCTCTCGATCTTACAAGGAGAAAACAATAACAATTATCTTTTGATAAAAATGAGAAAACAACTATCAAGAAAACTCTCTAAATTCTCTAGTATTGGGAGAAAACTATAATGATTTAGGATGATTTTGAAGCTAAATGAGTTAGGGTATTTAAAGTTGAAGCTTAAGGACTAATATTATAAATATCCTAAAGTATAGGGACTAATTTAGCAATTTTACCATTTATGTTTTTCAACAATTGCTACACCGAATTTTGACAATTTTTTTCGGTGCTTTCAGTGCAACAACTTGCACCACCGAAAACAAATTTTCAACAATAATAATTCTTGGTTTCGTAAACATGTTTTAGCAAATGCCCTTCATGTTAAATGCTCATATTTCATTGTTACTCCCTTTGACAGGATAGAAGTGCTTTGGTCCAGGCCCTCTCTACAAATCCAGAGTATCTAAAGAATAAGGTTAAGTGTTGTTCTATGTTGAGGGAAATTTTGATTTCATCCAAATCTGGATAAGCCTTTAGTTACCTTTTTGTAAATTGGTTGTGCACACCAGATATATAAGATACATTTGTTTCAGAATGTGACTCCGAACTAATCAGGACCCTGTTTCTTATGTACACTCGTAAATCTTCCAAATCAGTGGCAGCTTGTCTACTGGAGACCTAAGGATTGGTGGAATCTGAAAACTTTAAAAAAATGTGTAGTATGAATCCTTTGAAAAACATAGAGCTTATCAGTTAACATGATTTAGACACACTCCATATTTTGTGCTTGTGCATATCTTTACAGTTTGAGCTTCATTCAATGCTACAGCCTTTGTTATAATATTCAGAACTGTAATTAGTCGATGGTTTCTCCTCTTGCTAACTGAGAAATGGATTAAACATGAAGAAATTTAGTCGGTTATTACACTGAAGATTTAAAGTTCCTTTACTACCAATTTCAGGCCTCGCAAGCAAACATGGTCGTAGATTACAAAGATTGGCAAGTTCCTCTTGGACGTCGGTTTAGGTATGCCTTTTCAACATTATGCATTGAAGATATGGCAAGTTCCAGATCACTGAAACTAAGGATGGTATTACGATTGTATGGCTTGGAAAACCTGCAGTTCTATATAAGAAATCATATCCAGTTGGCCAAACATTTTGAGAACCTGGTTGTTCAAGATCCAAGATTTGAGGTAGGTGTGCTCTTATATATACATACATACATACATACATACATACATACATACATACATGTATATAATATAAATAATAAATAATTGATGTAGATCTTAAGAGCCCCTTATAAGTCATTGTAATTGGAAACGGCATGCTGATGAGCAAAGTTTAAATGAAATAATCACAGTTCATGCTTTATGTTACAGATGATTAATCCAATACCATTTTAGAATATTAGACATTTGCATACATGAATATAGTCACCATGGGTAAGTTTCAACTGAAATGATTAAAATATTAGACATTCACTTGATTGCTGTGTAGAACCTTAGTTAAACAAGAGTGTCAGAGCATGTGCTTTGTGGCAATGACTATCCCCTATGACCACCATCTAATGTTTAGAAGTTCATGATATTAATAGAGCAGATACCGAGAATAAATCAGCCATTTTAGATCTGTTTAGATTAAAAAAGTACATAAACAAATAAAGCAAACTTCCTTGATATATATTGTCTAATCCTTCTTAAACTAGGACATATGATGAATTGGAAGTTGGAACTAGAGCTATAGCTGTACTGCATGTTAATCAGGTTGCACATTACAATGTCTGCTTAAAGCATTGGAAAACTGGATATATACAGTTGTCGAGGGGTGCAAAAGTTTTCCTCTATCGGATCTGAAGTTAACGATTATTGTAATCAGGCTGATGATGTGAGGTTAGTTGTCCAATGATACCAACCAACTTCATAATGCTGTATCTATAATCCAGTCTGCTGGCTTTTCATTTTTCATGTTTGGCCTTTAATGAAACTCTCTCGTAAAGTCTAATTTGATGCCCTGATGCAACAAAACAAACAGAATATAGCCTTGTCCTTGAGATTCACAATTCTCAAGACGTTCGACTAATAAGAAAGATAATTTCATTTACTATTCTTTTGCTCATACACAAGTTGAAGTCTATGGTTGATTCATGTTAAGAAAAAATGCAATGTTAATGATGGATCACTGATATAACTCATCTGAGCAGGTCGTCGTCCCTCGGATATTTTCATTAGTTTGTTTCCGTCTTCTGCCTCCTAATGATGAAGATCATGGCAACAAATTGAACCATGAACTTTTAGATGCTGTAAACTCAACAGGGAATGTCTTCATATCGCACACGGTAAGCGTGCTATGTAGGGTATATGAACTACCGGTATATGCATTGTTGGCACATTATCTAAGAGCAATGAGTTGTATGATGAATGCAGGTTTTATCAGGCAAATACGTGCTAAGGTTTGCGGTTGGTGCTCCATTGACTGAAGAGAAGCATGTGAACGCAGCATGTAAAGTTTTGCAAGACAAGGCCACTTCCTTACTAGGGGAATCCTTCATCTAAATTTTCTTTTTCGTTTTAGTTTTTAATTATTGATGTTATCATCTTAAAAAGACTGTTAATTGCAATGTCGTCACGAGCAATCAGTGGCGGATGCGAGTAGGGCCAAGATGGATAAGTGTTAATCCTAAAATCTGAATTTCTTTCGATTTATTATTTAGTTTATTGATTATGTCAATTTTAAGATTTTATTTACCTCAAACAAAAATTTTATGTAATAAATATATATGTATCCACTCATAAAATAAAAATTTTATTTTCCCCTAGTCATAAAAATTCGGATACCTCAAGACTACCAATAAGATAATAACTTGAGTGGTTTACGAAAATAAAAGGAGACTCTGTGAACCACACCATTAGCCATGGCTTTTATGCTGGGCTAATCTCAGCATGACTTCAATGTCTATATAACTTGTACCACTGAGAAATACCTAGAAATAAAAGTTTAATTAAAATTGTGAGTTATTCAAATCAAGTATTAAAAATATTTAATTAAATAATCTGAATTATTCAAAACTCGACTTGAGGTTGGTGTTTATTTGCATTTAAATCCATGTAACATTTTAGTAAGGGACAGACAAAATTTTATATCATAAGTATGAATTTATATAATTATATTAAAAAGCTAGAGATGCATAATTATAAAATTTTAAGAAAATAAATTTAAATATAAAATAAAATGTAAATTATACAAAAGTTTAAAATTTACAAGAGTATAACCAAACACCAGTCACCCCTTGGACCATTCCTATTTTCATGGAAATTATGTAAATTATAAAAGATATGGGATTGAAGATAACATATGTGTGAATTGTGAATATGGAAGTGGGGCATTACATCAGTCCGAGTCAGAACAGTGGAGATGTAGTTGAGATTAGTGGTTTGGGTGGGTGCTGGGTCAACCTCAACCATCAAGTTTCTGGTCAGTATCTGTCTCAAATCCCCAAAGAAAACGGCAAAGTGTCCTTTCATTTTGATTCCCTTTTTCGAAAATGGCTACAACCTACGTTGTCTTTATGCAACTGTCCAGAATAGACGCATGGCGAATTTTCTGGCTGCATAATCCCAGGCAGCATACTCGGCAATCACTTGTCATTTGATGTGATATAAGTGGTAAAAAAAGATGTTATTTTTATTCGAAGTTTTAAGTTTGAATAATTATTTTTACAGAATATATATTAATTGTAAATTGTTAAGTAAAAATATTTTATATTATTAAAAAATAAAAAAAATGCACGTAAACTGATGATAAATGGGCCAGCATAAAACCCAAATTTGTGGAAAACTGTAGTGGGCCAATAACGTGTGTGTGAAGATATATGGGCCTACAAAGTAGATAAGTTGGCAAATTCGTTCCTTCATTTTCCAACTATAGAATCGATTTGGAAATATATATAATGAAAATAGTGCTTAAGATTTTTTTAATAAAAATTAAAATAATATTTTATATAATAACAATAATGAAGGCTAAAATAATTTTACTCGCATATTATAATTTGAACGACCTACGATGAGATATATGAATGAGTTACTGTTTATTATAATATCAATTATTAAAAATTATATAATTTTTTTTGAAACAATTATATAGGAGAGATGAAAATATATAAACACGTAATACATGAATGGCTTCCACGTGGTTGAAGCACCGAAATCCAATAACATGCACGTGAACCAACCATGCAATTCAGTTTCTTGTTTCTGGTTACAAGCACAATATTAATGCAAATTCTGGAAGCGTAATGTCCCTCTAGAAAACAAAAAAATAAGTATTGGAACATATTATAGTTTGAAAACGATTAAAGATAATGTTATTTTTTTTAGAGATTTTAAGTTTGAATAGTTGTATCTATAAAGCATATACGTGTTATTAATGACTAATATTTTTTGAAAAAATATTACCTTATAATCGTCATAGGTTATTAAAATACAATTCTTTTTTATAATATTCTAAATGTGTAACTAAAATATTATCAACACTTAAAAGCATCACAATTCTCTCCTTTCTGAAAAATAAAAAATTGTCCCCCTTCATTTCTATACTAGTATTCTGAGACACATTTTAAAAAAAGTATTTTTGAGACACGCGTGTGAAAAATATTTATTTTTATAATAAAATTTTAAATTTGTTAAAAAAATTATTTTCAATTAAATAGTTTTTAAATAAACTTCTAATTTTTTAAAATAATCATATTGTAAAAAAAATCTTTATTTTCCAAAAGTTTATTAAAACTAGTTATATTATTGAAAGTTTAATTTAAGTTTTTATAATTTAAAGATTTAATTATTTTTAATTTATTAGAACAAATAAAATTAAACTATCATAATCTTATGAATCAATATATTTTTTATTTTTGTCAATTAAATTTATATCATTAAATCAAGTGATATTAGATTTAAGTAAACACTTTAAATATATATTAAAAATATATATTTATGTAAAAAATTACATTTGAAAAAAACTAAGTCAAATGATTATTGATGGAGTGATAAAAATTATTAGTTATGCATTCAAATTTCAAGTAAATATTTTTATTTGTTTATATAAATATTTATAAAATCGTAGCAAGATCAAAGTACCTTTACAATAATACTGAATACAATTTAAATTGGAATATATTTATAATTTTTAGTTAAATTGATTTATGGCATTAAATTTAATTAAAATTTTATTAAATAATATAAATATTTTTAAATTAATTATAATTTTTAAATTTTTGAATAAAAATAATTATATTTAAAATTCTAAGATTCACTAACTTCAGGATGTCAGCTAAATTAAATCAAAATTGTTTTTTTCTTTAAAAAATATTAATACCTTGTCAGTTAGATTCTATTATAAAACAAAGGTAGCTCAAGGCACATGTCTCAATAATTTGATTCTTATTTCACCATATAATTTATTATTATCACTTAATATCTGAGTAGGGGAGTAGGGAGGAATACAAGAGGAATATGCTCTGCTTCAACACTCTTTGGTGATACAGCATGCACGAATCATACTTACTTTGTTTATATCCCCTCCATTGTTATTAAAATTGAGGTTTTAAAATACAATACAAGATTTAAAAATTATTATGGATGATATTGCATGTGAATACCATGTACATTGCTTGCTTCCATCACCCCCTTTCCACTTTAGTTGCATTTCAATCGAGACGGACTTAAAATTTTATGTTATAAGGTAAATTTATAACATTTTAAGATAAGATAAATTTATAAAATTTAGATGACGAAAATATATTTTCAATAAAAATATAAAGAAAATATATAAAATATATAAAAAGTATAATTTTTTAGGGAAGATGATCGTTCGTGCCTTAGTCCATCCCTAACTTCAATGTTAAAAGGACAAAACATGACAATAAAAATAACATTTCATTGTTTTAAAATTTATAGTTATTATTTAATGGATATAATTCAATTATACAATTTTTTTTTAGTTTTACACAGATTTATAACTGTTGAATGAGTGAAAATAAACGATTGAGATTAATCGTAGGAAATGAGAAGATATTCAACGGAAAATAAAATAAAGAGTTAATCACAGTCGTTTATTTTCACTCATCTAATAATCTTAAATGTATTATCAATAAAAATAATAATTTCATAACTAATATTTAGATAATCTTATATATTTTTAAAATAAAATTTAAGAATTAGAAAATAAAATAATAAAACACTTAACATCATATTAATATTATTTGTAGAATTATTTTCTTTCATTACCAGTATTTCAATTTTAACTATATATATTTTATTTTACATTTAACACTTATTCGTTAATAATTAAAATGAGAAAAGAAATTAAATCTTTATATTCACATCTTAAAATCGAATATACAATTTGCCAAAAAAATAATTATTTGCGCAAACATACGTCATGCTCTTCAACAAAACAAAATGGAAAAATGGAAGGCAATCTCTGGCTCATTTCGTCTTTTTCGGAGTATTTAAAAGATGAGTCAAATAATAAAACGCGAAAGATTTGTTTTATTATTTAAAGCGAACTCAGGTTTTATAGAGTAGGGTTGCCACGTCATCATCAATCACTCGGTGCATATGTGCGTTCAAGTCGTCATCCATCAGCCAGGGAAGTGGACTGATGTTAAATTCCAACAAATTAATTTGTTAAATTAGCTCAGTTTTTTAGATAAGATATAGCCGGTAACATAATAAATTAATTAAAACAAATTAAGTCAATAATTAAATTCCTAATTTTGTGGTTTAAAATGAGAACAACAATTTGGCTTTGATTTCTACCCAAACAGCCAAAAGTAGTTCATACAGAAGTCGGTTTCACCCGTATCGCACTTTAATATACATTTTCTCCTATTAAAAAATTGAGTAAATTATCGAAATGGTCATTTTATTTCATAAGTATTTATTTTTAGTCATTAAATTGAAAAATAATAATATTTTGATCTAAATAATATTACGTTTTTCTCCTATTAAACGGGCTTTTTCATACTTTTATCATCATGTCAACAAATAAAACAATAAAATATTATTATTTAAGATTCAAACATAAAACTAATGAATTTACGTATAAACTATTTATTGTATAATTCTAATTTTTTAAAAAATATATTTTTATTTAAAATACTTGTGTTCATTAATGTTATCATAAAATCTTATACATAAGAAAAGAATAACAAAAAAATCAACAACATTCGACAAATAAAAGATAACGAGCAATAATTCAAACTTAATTTGAAAAATTTATTGAATGATTTCAGTAGCAAAAGGTATGGACGAATGCAAAATTTTGTACTAGGGGGCGGACTTCTAAAATTTTAGGAGATAACGAATTTATAAAATTTCAAAGACGAAAATAAATTTTCGATAGAAATTATATAAAAAATCTAAAATATATGATATTTTTAAATTTTCAGGGGGCGATTTTCCTCGCCCGTCCCCTTCAGTTCATCCCTACTAAAAGAGAGTGTTATTCTCCTTAGAAAATCTGGGTTCAAACAATTACATATGCAAATTGTGTTTGC